AAAAGAAATCACCACAGAGTGAAAAGAAAATCCATAGAATGGGAAAAATTTAGCCAAATATCTCTCAAACAAAAGACATATCTAGAACATATAAAGAATTGAAAAACATCAGACCCCTCAAATTCAAAGACCCAATCAAAAAATGGGCTTCTAAGATAAATATACACTTCTTAGATGAAGAAATACCAATGGCAAATAAATACATGAAAAAATGTTCACCATCACTGATCATTTGATAAATGTAAATTAAAACAACACTGAGATTCCATCTCACTCCAGAAAGAATGACTGACATCCAGAAAGCACCTAACATGTTGGCAGGGCTGTGGAGAAAGAAGAAACACTTTTCTGCTGTTGGTGGAAGTACAGACTGGTACAACCACTGTGGAAATCAGCGTGGAGAGTCCTTAAAAAACTAGGATTGGCAATCCCATTCAATCCAGCTACCCAGAATTGAAAGTATCATGCCACAGCAATATATGTATGCCCATACTAATAGCAGCATAATTTGTAATAGCTAATATTGGAAACAACACCAATGTCCACCAACCATGGAATGGAAAAAAAAGATGTGGTATTTTTTATACAATGGATTATTACTCAGCTATTAAGAAGGATAAATGTGAGGCTTTTAATGGTAAATGGATGCAACTTGAGACCATATGTATAAGTGAAATAAATCAAACTCACATGTGTAAATATCATATTGTCTCCCTAGTATAAAAAACAAAAAATTGAAATAGTAATAAGATCCAGAATGTACAAAAGATATTGTGAAAATGAAAGGGAAAGAAAGTGCTCAAAAGGAAAGAACAACTGGGATGGGGAAAGGAGAAAAGAAAGGAAAAGATTATATGCAAATAGGCATACATATATATGTGTGTGTATGTATATATATACAAGAGATAACTATACTACTAATCTCTATTCATTAAAAGAAGTTTGTGCTACTTTTTTGAAATTCTGTATTATTTGTTTTTTGGTTTTGTTTTTAAAATTAAAAAAATAAATTCAACCTTATTTCCTTTGCAGTCATAACTAGCCATTTTTCCATTCAAAATTCAAGACTTATAAGTATGATTATAACACATATGAATATTAACCATTATTTCAAAAGGCTGAATTTTGTTGGCCTACTCAGGGGCCCAAGGGAAATTTCTGTAGGTGGGGTCCAAAGGTTAAGGAACATACATGTGTGAGACATCAGCAACCACAGTAGGGAGCAGGAAGCACAGCACAGAGCCAGAGTGCAAAAGTACAAAAGAGTTGCCTGCATCCTTATTGTATAATTCTTATACAAGTTGTTTATGGCCCTTGCTATTCCTGGCAGCATCATCAGTCAACTTTTCCGGTCAGATACTATTCCTAGTGGTCAACCACTGCAATGCCTGGTCAAGGAACCTGCTAAGTCTTTTCCTGGTGAGAGGAGGGACTTATGACCTGAACCATGATATCCTACATGATCAGCTTTTTGGCCACTCTTCCATATGTCTCACCACAGGTTGGCATTCCATAAGGTGCCCTATCTGTCACTATTGAGTTGCCCAAGCTGGCAGCCAGAGTCAACCCCCTCAAGATGGCCCAACTGTCCATGTACAGATGAAGATGACCTTCTTCATGCATTACAAGCAATCACACTGCCTGCAACTCTTCCCATTGGCTTGAACTTCCTGTTCCAGTTTTAAACCAGAGTACTTCCATCTGGGCTGGACAGCAACTGCTGTCCATTGCAAGGCTGGGTCATGGCTAGACCCATCAGTATATGCAGCATCCACCCAAGGTCCCTCTTTCCTTTTTGTACAGAGATTAGAGTTATGCCCTGCAGCCTATCTTCCTAGACAGGTTCTAGAACAATGTACATCAGAAGTCCCCAAACCACTGGTAGTTCAGCTGCCAACAGGCTAGCCAAAAGAGAGACCCACTGTTGGAAGTATGCTCCCCAACATGCGTGAGTGGAAGCCTGTGCCATTCCACTCTTGGGATGGGCTGTTCACGTTCATACCCACCTCTCTATTTGTCTTATGATTCCTCACAGGCATGCAAAGCAGTGTTTAGCATTTCTGATTCTCTATCAGGGAATGCTGGCTCTTAGCTCCCTTCCACAACTGTGACTGAAACCCAACAGGGTATTCTGTGTCCCCTGTTTTGGCCAAATCCATCGTCATCCACACTGGCAGGATAAATGGCAGGTTGGAGTCAATGACTCACAGGGCTTGCACCTATGCAAGAGCCCTCTTTGAGTCCTGAAAAGCAGCTTCGCAGAAGCAGAAGCAGTAGCAGACAGCAGCTTCTGTTGCTTCTGTGCAGCCCCATGTTGCGCCCCTTTTGGTCATCTGATAAAAAGGCAGAGCAGGGTAGCTAGGTGCAGTACATTCACCAAAAATCTAGGAAGCCCACATGTGCCTGTAATTTGTGTACTGTCATGGCTCTGGTCTTACCCAACTATATAGCACCCAAGAATTTGGCAGATAAGCCAGTCCCCTGGGCCTTGTCTTTGTCCATGGCTTACCCCAGCTTCTTTTAGACTGTACGTGGAAGCTTTTAAATCTGCAAGGAAATCAGGGATTAACAATATTATCAACATAAAGCAGTGACCCAAAGTGTGGCCAAGTGGCCAGGTCCCGAATCACCAGGTCACGACAAAGTTGGGCTATGTAATAGCCTTGGGCACCATTTGGATGATGCACTGTCTGCCCTCCCAGGTGAAGGCTAATTGGTCCTGACTGCCAGTGTCAGATGAGACTTTACAGTCATTCACCATGAATCCTCTGGCTTCTGCACGTGCCATACTGAAGGACTCTGTGTAAGGAGTATCTCCCCTGATTTTTCCAATTTCAAGACAGTCTGTCCCATCCTCTCATGGCCCCTAGGTAGCTAGTACTGCTTCACACATACAACCCATGTGGCCTGTGGGAGAGCCAGTGATATGTGGTGTGGAATGCCTCAGACTATAGTTTTTCTCAAGTGAATTCACAACTGGAATTCTCCCTCCACAGTGTCTAGCAGTGTCAGTGTCTGCCCCCAGAACATTTTCAGCAACTGAGTAAACATAATCATACAGGTATGGGGACAAGTAGCTGATACCCAGTCACCTAGGTCTCCCTGAATGTGATATAATGACCTTCATACCCTTCTATACGTGCAGCAGGTCCTGTAAAATGGTCTGCCTTGCTGTGTATGTGTTAACTCAGCGCTGACATCCACCAATTCTCGTACATGCTGTACATTTTTTGGGGGGGGCAGTAAATAGTCAATTCCATATGTGACCTCCAATCTCCTGGGAACCCCAAGACCCAGGCACCTTGGCCTGCCTCCTAATCCAGATAAAAGGAGGCCAGTGTCACTTTCTCCTGCTGTACTGGGGCTTCTTTGGCCTCTGGCCTTGGCCCATCAGGCAGTATTCACAGAGTCAGCAGCACACCCAAAGGCTGCCCGTCGAACTTATCTGTTGTTCTGCCAGCAGCCAGCAGGTCTGTCCAGATCTAACACTGACTGACCTTCAGGGTCCCACACCCTGTCCTTGGGAGGATGGCCCCACTCACCTGGGGCCCCTTTTTTTTCTCCTTTGCCAGTAGTTTTTACAGATCTTGCCTTACCCTGGGGCTTTACTTTCACACTGCCAGTCTGGCCAAGGCATCCATAGCATAGTGGACTGGACAATCTGTAAAGGAGGCTGGAAGAGCCGCCACTGAGCTGGACGTGCCAGCCAGCCTGCTCATCAGGACTATGTCCTTCATGCATGCCATCAGGAGTTCCTCATTTGCCCTATAGAACTGCAGTACAAACATCATTGTTCACACGCCCATTTCATGTAGCACAGTTACAAGCTGTGATAGTGACGGGCTCCAACAGGTCATCTGGACTCTCCCAAACCAGGTAAACCGATGTCATCAACCAGTTCATTATAGTGTGATACCTGCTTATGGGACTGTCCTCCGCACATCCTGCAGAACCTGTCTCATAGAGGGATGTGGGTTATGTTGGTTACTTGGGACATCTCTATTGCTGTAGCTGCCACACAGGCACCATTTCACCTACCTTGTGCTTTGTTTTGCCAGCTCCTGTGACTCACGGCTGAATAGGTTGTGTACACTACGTGCCGGTAGAAGTAGGTGGTACTCCCAGTTTCTCTCCCTGGGCTAGGGGTTCCTCTACCTCCACTCTGACAAATAGCATGCAAAACCAGGAGATTTACCCAGGGGTTTTCTGAGACATGAGGATTTATGCTTTTTGGAGACAGTTTTGGAGGAGGCAGCACTTGCTACACCTTGTGACATGAGCTCCACAGCAGCCAGCCAATGCCCAAGGCTCTCCTCTATCTGTTGCAGCTGTTCTACTTGCCAGACAAGGCCATCCACCTCTCGATTTATGCAGAAGAGAGTGAAAAACAGCCAAGCCATCAACCCCGACACTTCATGGTGAGGAGAAAGAATCTGTCCATCTCCGACTTCTAAGGCTTGTAAAGACATCCCTGGGCTCCACACAGACTGTTTCTCAGTCCTCCTAAGCCTTCCAAGCTGCCGAGGGGGTCACTACAAGCAGCCTTCCCGGGGGCTCTCCCTTGCCTTTGGGCCTTTTCCACAGTTGCCATAGGACCACTCACCTCAACGTCCTGCCAACTATGCCAGTTCTCAGCCTACTCAGAGGGCCCAAGAGAGATGTTCACAGGGGAGGTTCCAGGGTTGAAGAATGCCCACGTGTAAGACAACAGTAACAACAGCAGGGAGAGCATGGAGGACAGTAGAGAGCCAGAGCACAAGAGTGCAAGAGAGCTGCCTGTATCTTTACTGTAGAATTCTCATATGGGTCGTTATCTCACGTTTACATTCTCACATGGTGCTATAACCAGCACATATGTGTTTACCTGTGCTGTCATAGTTACATAACTGTATCCCACTCTATGCCCACACTAGACAAGCAGGATCACATCGTCAGGTGTCCTGAGTCGCTCCTGAGCTTTAAGTAGTTTGAGTGGTCCCCTACACATATACATCACAAAGTACCATGTAAAAGATTTTATTGAATTTTCATTTCTCTGCTTTTGGAAAATCACAGGTTTCTAAAATGTTTTTCCCCATATATTACATTATGGTATATTTTCCCTATTATAAGTTAAAGTGGCACAAATTTAAATACTTTCCTCATCAAGTTCTTATCACATTTAGAAAAATTGGAAAAAAGTCTTTGCTCCTAAAAGAACTGTATAGCATTACTCACAATAGTCTAAATACAGAAACAATGCAAGAGTCCAACAAAGATGGCCTGTGGTATGTCAATGCCATGGGACATTACTGAGCCTTTGAAAAAGGTCATCTTGCCGTTCTGTGAAACATGGGCAAAAAAACATGGTCAGCTGTGGAAGGTCAGACAAACGTGGCATAGACAGGCAGACACCATTTGATCCTACTTCAGATGTGGAATCCGAAAAGTTCAATTCATAGAAGCAGAATAAAATACTCTTTGTACTAAATTTTTAATCTACCACTCACTTTTCCAAATCTTGATCTAGAATTGCCAGATTTTAAAAAATCCAGTTAAATCTTGTATCCAGGTAGCAGAATGCCCAGTGAAATTCGAATTTCAGATAAATGGGATCTTTCTTTCTTAGTATATGTTCTAGATATTGCATGGCCCATACAGATATTAAAACACAAACAAACAACAAAACCCAGACAAACATAATCAACTATTCACTCTCTGTCTGAAATCCAGGTGTAACTGGGATCCTTGTTCACGTGCTCAACCTGGCATTCCTAACTGGGGCTAGTTAACTGACAGTTGCTTACTGATTCCTGTCCTGAGGCAGGTAGGTGTAGGCGTTCGAGGACGGTAAACTAGAAGATCGCTCCAAGCTCTCAGGACTCCAGTCTGGCTTCCCGGAGAAAAATCCCCTAGAGAAGGACAAAGGCCGCAGATTCCACTTAGCGCACAGCCCGGTTCGTGCTGCCTGAGACGCGCTGACCTACAGCGGCCAGCGTCTCCCCTGCCCAGACGGATTCCAGCGGCCTGAGCAGGACCGGACCCCGAGCTTTCGCAGGCGCTCCCGGCTCCGCAGCCACGCGCCCCAGCCTCTCCTCCCGCCCCCGGCCGGCCGCGCGCAGGCCCGGCCACAGCCCCGTGGGCATCTCCAGCTCTCGCCCGCCGGCACGCGCGCTCTGGACCGGTCGGCACTCGGGCTGCGATCTCCACCCAGCGGTGCAGGCGGTGAGGTCGCTCGGACCCGCAGGCAGGGGAAGCGGCCTGGGCTCGGAGAGGTTCGGGCCGGGCGCTCCGCGGCCGGGTCCCAGAGCGTGCTCTGCTCCCGCCACTTGGCCACCGAGCCCGCGCGGCCCCGGCGTCGGCCGCGGCTGCCCGCGTCCCAGGCGATCCCGCCCGCCGGCCGGGACCAGCGGCCGCCCCACCCCCGTACGGCGTGAGCGTCGGCTGCGCGCGTGCGGACCGGGTGGCTGGACCGAGGGCGGCGCGGGGAGTCCCGGAGGGTGGCGCCGGCCTCTGCTCGGGGCTCGCGGGGAACACCAGGGTCGCCCGGCGCCCACCGTGTCCGCCTCGCTCCGCGCGCGCGCCTGAGGCCGTCCCGAACCGCACCGGAGACAAAGGCGGCGGGGTCGCGCGCGGCGGCGCCGGGCGGAGGCGGGGATCCCGGCCTGGCCCGGTTCCGGTCGGGCGGGCTGGCTGACTGCGGCCTAACCGCGGCCGGGTCCTCGCTGCTTCCCGCGCTTTAGACTTGATTTCTCGCCTCTGTTGGAGCCCGGCCTTCCGGAGGCATTCGTCCCAGGAGGAAGAAAGGCGTCCCGCGCTCCCCGAGGGCTGCCCGGGGTGAGGGGGTGCCCGGCCGGGGCGTTGGCACCCACCCGGGGTGGGGTGCGCATCACGCGAGGGGGAGACCCGCCGCTCTGACTGTCTCTGCTTTCCGCGTCTCAGCGCCGCGCGCTGGCTGCACAGTGTGTACGTGTGTGTGTGTGTGTGTGTGTGTGTGTGTGTGTGTGTGTGTGTGTGTGTGTGTTTTGGGGGGGGGAGTGTGTGTGGGAACGCGCGGAGAGGCTCTCTGGCGGAGGTGAAACGGACCTTTCCATTCCCTGTCAGGTCCCATCTTCCCCAGGAGTTTCTCCTTTCTTTCCCACTGCAGTTTCTAAGGTCCTTTCTCGGTGTAGGGAAAAGAAAGTTCCACCCGGAAGGCACGATCAGAGCTCTGGGAGTCGTGCCTGTCAGCGCTGTGATTACCTTATTTCTAAACTTTCTGGGAGACCTGGAAAGCTGTAGTGTAACCCCTTTTCTCCGGAGGTAAAAGCCTTGGAGGGGCGCCAGTTCTCACAGGCCAGTGCACCTCAGGGCTGGGCCTTGGGCTTCTCCACTGGACCTACAGCTTGCTTGACCTGCTCTTTACTTGGCGCCCTCTGTTAGGTGGCCTCCCTCCAGGTTGAGAGCCCAACCCCTAAGGGAAGCACTCATTTCTGTGGATGGCAGGAACTGCCTGGGTGACATCAGGTGCCAGTCCATGCTTCCAGCTCCTGGCCTGGCCCAAGGATAATGCTTCTTGTCATCTTGGGCCAGGCACTTTGGGAGGCTGAGGCTGCAGGATCGCAAGTTCAAGCCCAACCTGGGCAATTTAGCAACTTAGCAAGAATGTACACCAAAATAAAAAATAAAAGACAGGACTGGGGATGTTGCTCAGTTTGAAGGCTGTCAATGCCTAATGCTGTCAAAAAAGAAGGGAAAAACATACCTCCAACTCCCCCGGCTTTGATGAAATCTCTGTAGCGTCCTACACCTTCCCCATGTGGTGTACCAACTTCTCCCTCTCCTACCTGGGGAAGTCAGTGTTTTAAAAGGCATTAAAAAGACATAGGGTTATAAGTTATACTGAAACAAAGTTATCAAACATAGTATTGCCATGTCTCAAATTTGCAAGTGATTTGTGCTTCTTTGTGAATACTTAATTACGAAATTCATTGCGGAAGCTGAGAACTCCTGCAGTTTCCAGATGGAGCGGGCTGTATGTTTTGTTGTATTTGCAGCAGCTGAACTGTGAGTTGAAGGTATCTGTGACTTGGTGGATTAAAGGTACCAGTTTGTTGTCCATATTTATAATCTGTTAGAGATGGGCAGAAATAAAGATGTATGTGGAAAAACACGAACTTACAACCCCCTAACTTCATCTGTGGACATTGTGTGGTTGAGTGTTGCAAGTTGCAGTCCTGCGTACAGAGCTTTGCTTTTTAAGCTCTTGCTGGCCACGGCATATTACAGCTGTCAGTGTCTTCTTTTGCTCAGATTCAGTTTCTTAGTGATAAAGGCTTAGGACCAGAAACTGTTTAATTGTTGCTTCTGTAGGTAATATGCTGGAGGATATCCCTGTGAGAGTGGGTGTGTGTCATAGGTGGACATGTCACATGTGGACATGTGTCAAATATGGAGACATGTCATATATAGCACATTCTCTCCCCTCGTGGGTGTGACTTACCCTTCCTAAGTGGATCCTATTACTAGTGTCAGGCAAAAAAAAACAAAACAAAACAAAACAAAACAAAAAAGTTACTTGCTACATATCCCACACATTCAGATGATTTTTAAGGCATTACTTTTGTGATGGCTGAGTCTGAGGAGGCTCTTGATTGTTTTTATGAAGTTAGCATACTAAAGGTTTGTCAGTAAAGCTTGATAAGGAAGCTACAAAAAAACCAAATGCTCTTTAAAAACGATGCAAAATTATTAGAAAAATTCATTTTAAAATCAAATTTAGCAATCTATAAAAGGATAATCATGGCCAACTTGGATTTATGCCAGGAATGTAAACTTTGTCTAACATTAGACAATAAATGGAATTGAACCTTGTATACTAAAGTAGAAAAATATTTGATAAAACAACACTGATTCATGATGAAAATTCTTTGCAAGCTGACACATTGAGAGAAATTAAATAATATTCAAGATAACAGACGGTATGTTATTTCCCTGCAAAGAAATCTATAGGATCTGTGCAATCACAATCAAAATCCCAGATATTTTTTCAAAGATACAAGTTGATAAGTTGATTGTAGAATTTATTTAGAAACTGAAGGTAATCAAAGAACAGAATTTGGGTTCTGAAGTTACTACAGCAGTATTTAGTTAGTATGTGTTACAGCAAGGTTAGACAGATCATGGGGATAAATAGGGAATACATAGATAAGCTTGGATAGGTGTAGCCTTTTTTTAACCCAGTAGCAGAGATTGAGTTGAGGATTGGACTTGTTATTGTCTAGTAAGTCTCCCTTCTCTTTCTTATTTTTTTAAGATTCCACATATTAGGAAGATCATGCAATACTTGCCTTTCTGAATCTTATTTATTTTAATCAATATGATATCAGATCTGTTTTCCTATAAATGACAAAAAATTCCATTCTTTATGGCTGAATCTATCTATCTATGTATCTATCTATGTATATATCTCCTTTATATGTTCACTTTCTTTTACCATTCAGTCGTTGATGAGCATCTAGGTCCTTTTTTGGTTGTTACAGGTTGTGTTGCATTAACAGGAGTATTCAGGTATCCCTATAATATGCTGACTTTAATTCGTTAGGGCGTGTTCTAAGAAGTGGTGTAGTTGGATCAAATGGTAGCTCTGTTTTTAGTTTGGAAATCAGTCTTGCAGGTCAGTTACTGGAGTTGAGCATATACACCTCCTGTTATTCCATTTCTAGTCATCAATGGTAAGGTGTATATGTGTGTGCCAAAAGACATGTGAAATGACTATTCTGAGCAGTGTGATTTGTAACAGTCCCTAGCTGGAAACCACTGTTCCGTGCATTGATATGCGCGGAAATGCAAATGCATCTGCAGATTGTCTATATGAGTTGAATACTCTGTAGTGATGAGGGTGAACAAATTATTGCCTCATACAACTGTGTGGATGAGTCTCATAAACAGAAAACTGGGCAGAAAGAAGGCAGAGATAAAACACAAGTGCTATGTAATTCCATTTAGATGGAGTTCAAAACCCAGCAAACTAATAGTTTGGGGATAGGAATAAGGCTAGTGGTCACTTTCAATGGATTTAGTAACGAGGGAAAGACATGAGGGCTCACTAAGGCATTCAGCTTTTTATCTCAGTGATAAATACTTGGCTGTGTCCACTTCTTGAAAGCCTCACATTTGTAAAGATACACTTTAATAAACATTTTACTTAAAATATAATAAACCATTTTTAGTTCATCTAGGTGCCTTTTCTGTGAAGTGTAAAATGTGCTGGGCATGATTATGGGTGACTACAGAGGTTTAAAGTAGGCTGAAAATTTTCAGGAGAAAAAACCTAGTATCAGATCAGTAGCTTTATTGATTTAGAGGCTTATGAACTTCTTTTCTTTGGTGTTCAATAGTTCATATAAAAAGGCCTAGAGTTGTGCTTGATTATGATAAGATTGATATCAGTGTGATAAGAAAGCTGAAAATAACTAAGGGATGATTATTGAGTACAGAATTTTGCTTTCAAATAGTATTTTTTCCAGTTACATTTTAAAATTGGTAATGATTGAATTACAGAGCAGTCTGTTTTACATAGATCCCTTCAGTTGGGGACTTTCCTCCTATGAGCCGTGAACTGGGAAGGGGACAGGGGAGACCTGTAAAGTTCCTATTGTATCCACCAAGTCACCACAAATATAATGGCTAAGCACAAAGAACGACTCTCCATTTCTGTGTGTTTCATATCTGTGGACTCAATTAAGTGCAAATTAAAAATATTTGAAAGAAATTATGGCCGTACTAAACATTTATAGACCTTTTTCTTGTCATCCTCTAGGCAATGGAGTATAGCAATGATTTAGGTAGCATTTACATTGTATTAAATCTTATAAATAATCTAGAGATTCAAAGGATACAGGAGAGTGTGTGTAGGCTATGTGCAAATACTTGAGCATTTTATACGAGGGACTTGAGCATGCACAGGCTTGGTGTCCTTTGGAACCCTAGAACCAATCCTCATGGGACAAAGGGACAACTGTATTACCTTGCTTTGCTGGTCAGAAGTCCGCAGTGCATCAGTAGGGCCCCTTGCATAACTCTGGAGGACCTCAGGGAGAATCTCCTTGTTTGTTGCCTTCTCTACCTTCTTGATGGTTCTCTTATTCCTTTGTTTCTGACTCCTTCCTCCATCTTCAAAGCAGTCTTCTGTCTGTCTTTGACCTTCCTGCCTCCCTCTCGTGAGGGAACTTTGTGATTACCTTGGCCCCACCTGGGTATATAATGTTCCTGTGGAAAGATATTTAATCGTATCTGAAAAATTCTTTTTGCCGTGGAAGATAACAAAGTCACATGTTCCAGAAATTAGGACATAGACATCTCTAGGAGAACACTCATTGTGGAATCTTACAAATAAGCTCTTTCTATTTTGTTTCACAAATAGCAGTGTGTGCTTAGCAGGAGTTCTTTGACAAGTGTTGGATGAAGAATTGGGTCTAAACTCTAATTCTTTGGCTACTATGTCTCTCATGAAAAAGATTGTGACAAAGGGGGACAAAAGAAAAAAAAAGATCCTGAAGTTCACCCTTAACTGCACACATCCTGTGAAAGATGAAATGTGGGTGCTGCCAATTTTGAGCAGTTTCTCCAGGAGACAATGTGAACCGCACAACTGGAATCTTGGTGGACGGGTGATCGCAGCAGAAGTAGCAAGAGCAAGATCACGTGATTTCCGGCCTTTTCCCGAGAGATATTGGAAGAAGAATAGAATAACCTATGTGATTAGCCATACATAGGATCTACCAGCAGAAAGAGTTTGAACAGTGTTGCTTTCAGATAAGCCAGGACAAAGAAGAGAAGGAAGTAATAATGAAAATCCAGGGGCCAGGGAAAGAAAATTCCTTAGACTCAAATACTTTTATGAGTATTTTTTAAAAATTAAGTTTATTTGTAGATTTTAGATATACATAATGATCACATTCAACATTAAGAATTTGTGCCTATTC